GGAACGTCTTTCACAAAACGCTTGATTCACTAAAACATATTAAAGACAAATAATTCTATAGAAATGTATAAATACACACAAGAAATCTTCTAAATGAATCGATATTTCGCCAAAAATTAACATGGATCTGTGGTTTACAGTCTCTGTACTGATTTTTAGACGTTCAATCTTACCAGTAATAAAATTTCACCAAAATACAGAGTTTTACTACTCGATGTATACGAGGTTTTTGGAGACCTAAAACAGTCACAGAATGACAGAGTGAGCGAAATTGTCGAACTTAAAGTCCAACATCCCGTCAAACATACTTTACAGTTTACCAGTCAGATCTCGATGTGACTAACAGTTTTACACAGTGCACAACTCAAGAAGAAAGATTCCTCATCGTCCAAGGGTGACGACAAATACTACCCATCGACAAATCAATCAAAGTTTTGTAAACAAATAAACAGATATTTGTTTGTTATTCATGGGGATCATACATGTTGCACATGTACCGGCATATAGATCACGATATCTAAGATTTCGAAAAAAATGTACCTATATACGGATTTTACAACTGAGCACAAAGGTATCTATATGTTTTATTAACTGTTAAAGATGAAAAGAAAAAACAACTTTTTTTTCTATATTTAGAAAACTATGAACTACTGACAGAACTGATTCAAAGAATGTTGTAGAACATGAAAGCACCTACATCTTGAGACCATATGTACAAGTTGTTTTTATAAAAAAGGAAAATATACTATATGTAGGTAGGATATGGAGTCAACTTGTTACAAAGTTGTAATTCTTTCTGTATGTGTAAGTTACGAACTAAATGTAAATGTGAGACGTCGCTCTCAATACAGAAGTTTTAAAGCATGACTTACCAAGTTATTATCTTTGAAGAACGACATCTTCAATAATTTCTCGATCAACAAACTTCACCAGGAGTATAGTTCATTATCACATAATCGTACACAGTTCACATTGATAACACTCCTGGAGCACCGGCCAACCACAACGGTTTAAACAGATTCAGTTCAACGGGACTAGCGGATGTGAGTCCTACACTTCAGGATGCTGTTGATGACAGATGATTGCAAATCGCGATTCAATATGCTACAATTTCGCGCGGCGGATCACTTGGTGTGCAATTCGCGCTTGATTCAGCGCTTAGCGGTTGTTTTCTATGCCGACTGCGCGGAAGGCACAATGCGTATCGCGTACGTATGTGTGTGTGTGGTGGTTCCACTGGTGGTACCTACCTGCGGTTGGTAGCCTCTGATTACACACTTTCTAATTGGAAACGGCCCAAATGGAAATGGGACCTCTGCCTTCGCGTACATGCGGCGCACAGACACGGGCTTGGAACTCTAAATGTGTCCTATTTTGTTTATACAAAAAGATGGTATGTTTTGCAGTTATTATATGATGTCTCTGAAGTATGTATTTTTTTATAGGGATACTTTGATTTGTTGTTCACATTGGCAATAAAAACTTTATAAACTTATTTCTGCTAAAATGGAAATGTCATGAAAAAGCTAAGGAAAAAAATGGTTGAAATTGTCAGAAAAAATCTCCATTAATTTTCGCTATAAATATATATTATATACTATTCGGTCTTGACTCTTATGTCCACACGAGGCCCACGCGCAAGGCGTCGTCAGTTTTCCTCAACCGCAAGAGCATTAAGTAAAAAATCAATATATCATTAAAAATCAGTATAATGTCAACTTGTGTACTAGCTAGTCACTAATCCATGCCAGGCGCCCTCGCTGTGTGAACGCCACCTATCGAGGAATGGCATAACGCCATGTTGTATACCGTGCAAATCATTTACGGATGAAGTGGGCCGAATTGCAATGTGTACCAGAGAGAAAGGCGAGAAAAGTGTGCAAAACATGTATGTTAGAAAGAGTACGCCTAGAAGTAGTCACCACGTTGTCTGGCACCCATAGCGAGGAAGGTCACGCAGCACTCTTTCTAACATACGTGTTGCACGCTTCTCTCTCGTACACATTGAAACCTGGCTGACCTCAATGACGTGTTTTTTAACTACTGTGATCCTGCAGCGTTACCAGAGCTGCTTTCCAGTGATTTTGAATTGAGAGTTGTATGCACCCGGATGAGTGTGACGCTCCCGAACTGCTCTAGTAAATGTGCACGGAAACGCGACGATAAGAACCTAAGCTGTTTGTTGAAGTTTTGCTTTGACGTTGACACTTTGTATCACACTGCCAAACAATAAAAATGTAAACACATTTTGCCTTTATTTTCAGTTACTCCGAGTAACGTAAATGAGGCACTGAAAAGCGGCTCTGATGGTCGTCGATACTGGCAGGGAAGAAACCAGCATTAGCGTTATCAAATGGATGGGGACTATGGAGTATATAGATATTAATTGTATATGTTGGACCTGTTTGGCTGACTTAACTCATCTAATTAAAACAATTGTTTGATACATGTTTGTAGCTAGCTCAAATAGACTAACTTGGGCCGAACATTATCTTGTATGAACTTATGACAGCATTGCGTGGGAAGTGCAGTCACCCTTCTTGAAACCATTTTTTTGGTTACGTAATACGGATGCTGGCTTCTGGAATTGGAATTTTTCTAATTTCTGTTACTTGATAAATGGTATTGTTTTAACTATAACATGCTACCAGCTACCACAAAACATCTAAAATATTACTTTAGGGGCTAATTTGTTGTTCTGCGATTGACATTGTCGTAGGAAGTGTATTAGTGTATAGAGGTCCGACAAATCGTGTACAGAATTACAATCTATGCATGTCCTTAGCATCAATGGGCTAGGTTTGAATGTTTTCCTGTAACGTAAATGTCCAGAATGAAAATATGTAGTTATACTTACATATAGACGCCACACCCCCACGGGTGTCTGCTGTCTTTTTATTCAAGAATTTTCTTTTGAGTCTTGGGTCACGCGCCGGTGGTGCGGTGCGTTTGAGAGTTTATGTTTTAGGTTATGTGGGGTTATGGAATCCGCAGTTTTCTCTGATTTTTTTATTATATACATTAATCCGTTCAAAACATGTGAACCTACCACATAATAAGTCCATTAGAACGTCGTTATGATGTCCAATAAGTACACCTTATTTCACGAGTATCCATCACGCGTTAAGGTGAACAGCTGATCACAAAAGCGGCATCTTTGTGTTAACTTGTAACGTTGGCTATAATGAATTTCGGGACCGTAAACGCGTAAACCGTATTCAAACCTGTTATATATAAGTGGGTGGGAAATGTGACAATAAATGTACAAGTACAGATTAGAAAAGTTTATTAGAAAATTATTATAGTACATCTGAGATTTATTGATTACATGGTATGTCAATAGGACAGGTTGCGTAGTCCTTTTCAAAAGCTGTAAATTTACCTGTAAGAACAATATAGACAGGTGTTTCTGGTTGTGTGTAGTAGTAGTATGTGCAGAACCTATCATAAAAATTAATATTGAATACAGCTTGTTTAACATACCACACTCATGTAAAATGAATCGGTCTTGCACAATGCATCAACCTGCAAATTGAATAGTTACATACACTTGTCCTTCCAGAGTCATTTCAAAGTAATTGTGGAGCTAGTACACACATTAGACGCAATCTCACTACGCTAGTCACTAAAACAACTATCTGAACTATCCTCATCAGACCCAACCAGATTTATAATGAATGGCTGACGATTTTCAGTTAACACGCGTTTGGAGTGTACAAAGAAACACAACAAAATACGGTCTGTCTACCTGGAGTTCAACGGATCCCTCGGATTTAATTATGTGTTTTGTGCCGATTTGGGGAATTTTGAAATATTACTAGATAATAAGCTGTCATTGTCGTCCCGTAATGGATACTCGTGAAATAGGGTGTAACTCAAAACGCTGACTGCTTCGATCCTGAATCAAATAATCATAATCAAATCCAAGCGAATAACCAAAATTTCTGTGTTATGTGCCGCGGTTATAATATGGTTCAAGATGACACTCGGGTTGATGACGTCAGTTACACGAATCGCTTGAACGCGTTGGTTTTAACCGCGGTTTTGTTGCAAGTTGTTTATTTTAGGAAAGCGCGTATATAATATCTGATTATTTTTATTATCACTTAATAATCGGTGCTTTTTCGTCTACAACTGTATATGGAAAGTTTACATAAGAAACCTTTCATAATATTCACGTGAGAAATGTTTTTTTCAGATTTTTTTTGAATGATGGAACCATGGCTTTGTAGCTATGATAACCTTCAGTTCTCTAAATTTTTCCGCATGTGAAAGAAAACATTTATTGATTCAGCAGAAATGATGAAAAAAGAAATTAGCAAAACCGTATATAGGTGGATATCATCTAGTGAGTTTATATGGCCATATTTTAATATTCTTGTGGTATATGGCTACACATGATACTTTGTTAAGCATAGGAACTACATTTAAAGTGTCCCCAACAACCACAATGGGTATAACTAATAAGGTGCTCCACTTTATGGTAAAACTGAAGTCAGCCTGTATCAATTTTCTCAAAAATGAAGCTGAAGTACAATAACAATATCCAATACCCGCGAAAATACTAACTTGTCACATTTCAAATAATAACCAGAAATATAAAACTACTCTTGAGTTGGGTAAATACCACAATTTTGCGGTGATAACTATGACCATATAACAGCTGATTCGTGACGTCACGGATCTTATAACCAAACTGATAACTACACTCGCTTGAACGGATCGGTAAATACCAACCCAAAATGGTAAATACCATTTCCATTTGGTTATCCGCTTGAATTTGATTCATGAACATAACTTTTAAAAAATTAAAACCTAGGAATTCCATAATCATCCACACCTCAATCGTTTTTTCATACACCACGAAGTATCTTTAAATATTTTTTTTAAATCTTTCTCGGAATAATAAGAATTTGCTAAGGCACGGCTTCTCCGGAATCTAATTTCTACGGGAGAGTTGATCTCTTCTGATCTCTTCTCAAGAAAAGTACTTTCTGCCATCTAGTGAGCATCCACTGAAACACTATGATTTGCGGCTAACTTTATTTGATAGCTGTTTTACAGATTCCTGCCAACGTCCTCATTATAAAAAAATTAAAAGCCAATTTCAGAGTAGGCTTTGCAGTACTACTGAAGACGTTTTAGAAATATTTTTTTAAGTGTTGCAGTGTTTGATTTTGTCTAATTGACGTTAATTCGTTTTCCAAGTAAGCGATTTCTTTATCGATTACGGAAGTGTGGCAGGGAGACCAAGGAATAACGAAAGGGGACTGCGACTAACTTCATTTAATTGTCCCGGTGAAAATTGTTGAACAGTTTGGAGTTTGGAGACGTAAAGAAGAAAATTGAGCAAAATGACTGAACAAGCGTAAGTATAATTTTCATACTTTATATCGGTGAAAGCAAATGTTTTAGCTTCCTTGACTTGATTTTGGAAACCAGATTAGTTTATACTCAAAGGAAATACTTTTTCTGTTATATTGGAACGCCATGTTTATTAATGTAATCGATTCTAGAAATTTCCCCAAACTATTTTCAATGATGGTTGAAATGAAAGTTTCATGATTGCAAACTCAGGCATATACGTCTTTAAATTTCAAGCTCGATTGTAGTTATTTATGGGATTCGTTGCACATTTTGTAAAACATGGCATTTAACCTCACTTTTTTACAGGCTACCACCTCCTGTTATGTGGGCCCAGCGGTCCGCCGTAGTGTTTCTAACGATATGCTTAGAAGATGTAAAGGACCCTGAAATCAAGTATGCACTTTATTTTCCTTAACTTCAGTTAATTTACTAAAACTAACTACAATCATACTCTGTGGTATTCTAGTAGGTTTTAGGATACCTGCATAACAATAGAACTGAACCACCAATGAATAATATTAGTCTCGTTCAATCTACACAGAATCAGAGCTGCTTTCCAGTGGTTTTTCGTTTGAGAGTGATGTGCTCCCAAACTGCTCCAGAAACAATGCATGAAACTATAATGTGCATTGGAATGGTGTTGGTGCTGAGCGCTACAGAGTAACTCAACAAGGTCACTGGAAAGCAGCTGTGGTCTCTCAATTTATTGCTTTTCAGAATAAAAGTTCTTGGGTTTGGTCATCATTAATTCACTTTATTTTCTTTGTTCAATGTTTCAGCCATCTAGGCCAAACACAGATAGGTACATACAGTATTCTGGTAGTTACTGGAAGCAATACAAAATGTATTTCGTATAAAATTGTTCACAATACAACTGAGGCGTGCTTTACAAAAACCGCATAAGTCTAAATTTAACGAAATTGAGTTAGTGACACCATCTAGTACAAAAAAGGTTGCTTTGGATTACTTGAGCACATACTTTTTTTTTTAGCGAAGAGGTTTTTTTAAGCTATTACTAATAGTAATTAACAAAAAAGTATTCAAGAAAATTATTAGCACTGAAATAAATCGTTTTATTCTGTTTCCTAAAAATTTTGTATTTTGGACATATATATACATGCACATATATGTACATACATGTCTATCGAATGAGTTTAAAATTCTTAATTTTAAGAAAACTTGACTCTGTGTTGGATTTATCATACCATGTTTAAAGTACAGCAGTATCAGTGGTCTGTTAGTAACTGGCATATTTGTGAAGACACGTTAATATGTACAAAAATGTAAACAAATTTTAGTAGACAAAAACAACACACAAATAATACGATTGATGACTTAGAGTACTGGGGAAGGTGAAAGAATTTCCTTTGATAAGGTTTATGTTGTTATCGACACAGACACAGACCACTAGTACTGCTTGTACTCATGTGTGCTGGAAAGAATAAAAAATATCCATTATAAAGTAAGTTTTCTGTAAACTAAGAATTTTAAACTTGTACTAAAAAAATATACAGAGATAGATGCTTTATTGTCTTCGGATCATATGTATGATATAAGACTCGTCAGACATATCTCTATAAGTACATTATCTACAAAAATTGAAAATATAATTAAGTATAAATACATAAACTTGTCAGTTAAAATGGAAAGAAACACAGTTAGTTGAAAAAGGGCAAAGGAAGCATGTGCGCACAAATGAAAACATACACTAAACAAACAGATACAATAATAAATGGAACAAGGTGTAAAAGAAGTAAGTACAATAAGAATATAAAAAAATAAAAGGTATGCATATGCGAGTAAATATAATTATATACACATACATATTACATATATATATATATATACAGCCATAGTTTATTATTTAATTTTCAGGAGCATGACTCTTACCCTGAAAGAAACTCCACTACTGAGTAGTAGCATCTTTCTATTAACAGATTCCTCAGCTCTTTCTTGAACCTATTTGGGCATCTAATATCTTTTAGTATTGCTGGCAACTTATTGAATACCTTGGTGCAGGCGTAGGATGGTGATTTTTGGAACATTGACAATGTATGCAAAGGTATACTCAAGTCCTGTTTCGCTCTAGTGTTGTAGTTCGTGTTTAAGTCCTTGTTCTGCAGAATCTGACCCCTGTGACTGATGGTGTAGAGGGCGCATTTATAAATATATATACTCGAAAGCGTTAGCAAGTTATTATGCTGAAATATTGCTCTACATGATTCTCTCCTTTTAATGTTAAATATCAGCATTACAATACGTTTCTGCAAAATAAACTCTCTGGACGCGGAGCATGCTTGTCCCCAGACGATGGTGTGATTTGACAGATCTATCAGCGTTGATTTGGGGACATTTGGCTTTAATTTCAATATCGCATAGTAGGACCTATTGATTTGCCTGCATACACTGTCAACTTGTTGCTTCCAATTTAATCCTGCATCCAATTCAATACCCAGGAAGGTCGTAGAGTCTGAGATAGTACTGTTAATGAGATGTGGAGTACTAGAGTAAAAGTAAACAACTACCGTCTTGTCAGCATTCAAGATCAGGCGATTTGTTTGTGGCACCACTCCTCCATCTCAGATTTTATGATTCCAATGTTAAGGTACAGATCTTCAGGCAAATCTGCAGTTACTACAGCCAATGTGTCATCAGCGTAGTTCACTACTGCACCTGAGAGCTTCAGATCGTTTATAAATGAAAAGAAGTGGTGCCAATACAGATCCCTGAGCTGCACCTATATTTATTTTATAGGTTGCTGACTGCGCATTGTTCACTCTTACTCTAAGTTCCCTGTCTCTAGCCATTCCAGCAAGAAGTCTCTAATACCTATATTGAAAAGCAAATCTACATTAATGATATCAAACACTTTGGACAAGTCGAAAAATACTCCAGCAACTAGATGACCCAAGTCTATTGCCCGGTATATGTGGTTAATAAACTCAAAAGAGGCTGTCTCAATCGAGCGTGATTTCCTAAACCCATGTTGGTTATTGGAGACGATGTTGTATTTGTCACTATAGCTAGCTATGCAGGCATGCAGCACTTTCTCAAATATCTTTGAGAAAACTGACAGAAGAGATATTGGACGGTAGTTTTCGACTTGAGAGGGATCTCCCTTCTTCAATATAGGTACCACAATGGCCAATTTAAGTTTTTTATGGAATTTACCTTGATGCACTGACATGTTTATGAGCACAGCTAGTGGACCTGCAATTTGATGACACACACTTTTAACTATTCTTGTTGACACACCATCACTTCCACATGACTTATTATTTCAAAGGTTGTTTATCACATTGGTCACTTCATCTTCGGTAGTTTCGCTGTAGAACATTGACCGAGCTAGTGCGGTTGTTGACAGACTTGTTGTGTGCTGTCCTCCAAATTGTTCATGGAGCTTCTTCTCTGCTATTGTAGAAAAATACCTACCAAACGCGTCGGATGTACCTTCGCTTCGCAGATCTCCAACGGATTCTATATTTAAGATTATTTGATTGGTACAGCTGCTTCGTCCTAGTTCTTTGTTTACAATTTCCCATACCTTCTTCGATCTATTTTCTGTATTTTCAATTAGAGATGTTCATGATATCGTTTTTTAGTAGTTTTCTGTGTTTACTTTTTCTTTGTAGGTAATGTTGTGTTAGTTCGGAGTTATCTTGCCAGTATGAGTATATAGTCCAACTTGGTGAAATCAGACGATAGATTTAGTGCGTCCTTCGTTATGTCATGCATCTGGGCATTTGGGCTCAGCATTGCCTCAACTGTTATTTGGCTGAGTGGCAGGATGTTTCGAAAAATATAGAGAAGGTTTCGCCCATGTTCGTCTGCAAGAATTAGTAACTTAGGCTTGCGTGGTTCGTTTCTTTTTATATTATTCGAAAATGATTTAGAAATTTGGACATGCCTCGACTCTTTGCTGGCGTGTGTTTGTGTGGCTGTTTGCTTTGTTAGAGCTGCATCTGTTTGTGTATTTTTATTAGAAACCACTGTGTTTCCTTTAACTTTCTCAATTATTCCTTTGAGATGCTCTATCGTGTTATCCTTGTCCAGGACTTCGTTATTTAACTTTTCGATTTTAACTTTCAACTTTGCAGTGAGATCATGCAGATCTTCATTCGTTGCTAATTCTGAGGCTAGCTTATTCCTAAGATCTGACAGCAACTCTTCCTGGGTGTAAGTTTTATCATCCACATAATTGTCAACTTGTATGTGGATATAGCTGCTATTGTTGAATTTGTTGACTTTTTCTGGTATGTTTTTTTTCGATTTCGTTTGTTGTCATGTATTCATTCTTTCAGTAGCTCCGAGAATTTTTGGCACACTTTGCATCACCGCAAAGGTATCGTGTCTAAATTTTCTCGTATGCTGAGTTTTTGAGGTTACAAACTACAATGTTTTCTTGACCAAAGTTTGCGTTTTTCTTACCCGTTTTTTAGTATCTGCGTACATTCCTGTTTTAATCTACATCCAGTTAACTGTAGAAATTATATTACACATTATAACTGTTTAAAAACAAAACGGAAAATCACTGGGTTTAATTTTCGACGTTTTCGGCAGTACTGTTTTTCACTGAACTTACTGAACATATATGTAAGTTCATATACGATAATGGACAAAAGTATATAGACAAACATGAATATTTACCTAAATACCTTTAGAAAACGAATTCATACTTCATTGCTCCATAAACAAATGCATATTAGTAGGAAAACTAAATTCCTTGTTTTTACATTATCTGCAATGAACACAATACAAGTGGGGACAAAAATATGTAGACAAATTCTTTTCAACATTAAGTAGTTTAGTACAGTTTCGTGTCAGAAGAGGATTAGTTTGTGTTCATCAAGTATTGTGGAATAAGTTGAGTGATTTTAAGACCATGCCACATGGTCCAGGAATTTCTTTCGATGTGAAAACTAAGATCATTGAGTTATACAAAGATGGTAAATGTCAAGTTGACATTGCCAAAAATTTGAAGCTGAAGCATCAAGCAGTTTGGGCAATATTGAACAAATATAAACAAAGAGGTATCTTGGAAGCCTCTAAGAGAAGTGGTCGGCCTGGAAAACTAAATGCTAGATCAGTTAGATTAATAAAAGTAATTTCGTCCAAAGATCCGTTTAAAACCCCAAGACAAATAAAAGCCGAATCGAGACAAAAGGAATTGCCAGTGTTTCTACGAAAACTATAACTAGAAGATTAAATGATTTGAATTTATTTGCACGTCGCCCGAGCAAGATGCCACTAATCTCGAGGAAAAACCGTAAGGACCGATTACAATTTACACGGTTGCATCTTGATTGGAGCAGCTGTGACTGGAAGAGGATATGTTTCAGTTACTGTCAAACATGGAGGCGGGTCTGTTATGGTTTGGGGGTGCTTTTCGGGATTTGGGATGGGACCTTTACATAGAATAGATGGCATTATGGATAAGTTTGTATACATAGACATACTAAAGCATGTTATGTTACCCTATATGGAAGACAATATACCCTTAAGATCAATCTTCCAGCAAGATAATGATCCGAAGCACCCTTCAAATCTTGCAAAGAAATTCTTTCTGGATAAAAAAATGCCAGTTCTCAAAATTCTCCCGATATAAACCCCACTGAAAATCTATGGGAATACTTAGATAAGCAAATACGAGATAAAAATTATTCAAACAAGGATGAACTTTTTGCTGCTTTAGAGCAAAAGTGGAGACAGATTGATGACTCAAGAAACTTCTACAGTCTATGCCGAGACGATGCCAGGCGGTGACTGATAATAATGATTATGCTACAAAATATTAACACAAACATGGTTGGTTTTTGTATAATTCAATGAACTTTGCTTCTTTTTTCTAGAATTGTTTTGCTTTGTCTATATATTTTTGTCCTTCATAGTTCCAGTTTTTTTCAATTAATTTTCTATTGAAGGGAATCTAATGAATTTATTTATTTATAAGTATTATGCTATAACAAATTATGTATACAGGTTGGTGTATTAATAAAACAAGTTAAAAAAGAAATACAGCTCAATATTAATTTGTCGTATTATGTACTTTTGTCCATTACAGTATGTGTATGTATCTGTAAGTGTTTATGTGCATGTATTATGTGTAATTGTATTGTACTTATTTTATAAGAAATACTATTTGTAATGATTTAAATATTTTCCAGAATACTTGATGTACCTGAAGATGGCCTAGATGGCTGAAACATTCCATAAATCTAATAAAATGAATGTATGTTGACCGAATCCTGAGAATTTTTATTCCAAAAGTTGATACTAACGGTCAGGAATGTAACAAGAATTCTGTTTATTACATATTTGTTTTACCAAATCTCAGTTTAAATGTAATGTGGTTTCTTCCACAACTGAGTCAAACACCAGATAGGATAACCTCATGTCTGCTTGACTGCCTCACTTCAGTTCCAATAAATATCATTAGGAGAATGTTACACATTTAGTATTTACTGTGGTCTGTACCATCAGTATTTACTGATCAGTGTCAGTGAATTTCTACATAACTGTATTCATCAATAATTTCTGGTGTCCAACGTACATGGTTAATAAATATTCCATTCTATGGTAAATACTGACCACATGTAAATACTGATCCTGTGACCTTTGCCTAATGATAGTAGTATCCATCAATTTAATTTGGCCAATTGAGATCACATTTCTTTTAAAATCATAAAACACCAGTTAATGAGTTACATGGCAGTTTTGAAACTAATAGTGCTGAAATCCATTTCTCAATTCTATGCGATGCTGTTCAGTGTGTCATCAGAGTGGGTATTGTTGCTGATCCTTCATACAGCTTTACTTGAAAACAGCTGTGGTTTGAAATTTAAAAAACCGTCTGATAACTTGGGAGACATTCATACATCTTGAACAATATCCAAGATCCAAATGTTTCATCTATCGCATTGTGACCTTGACCCTACTGAATATCTCATTACCATGGCGACTTGATTCAGTTATTTGATAGTCTTTTATGACAGCGTCATTAACCCATAAATGAAGTTACCTGATTGATTATTGAACTATTGTCTGACAGAAATTACCTGGATGATTTCATTATATTGTCATGAGTTATATAAAAAAATCTGAGCAGCACTGTTATTCCATAAAATGTGAATACAATGCCAATTAGGGCCTCTCATAATAGTACTAGCACTAATGAAATATTGCTCATTTTTTTTAGATGCTATAGCATAACCTAATAATGATATGTTTGATATGCCTGATTTTTCAATTAAGAGCAACTACTCTGGTTGTATTTGTCTAAATCAAAATGTTTGTATATCCAGGCAATATTGGCACCTCACCAACCCAAAAAAATTAAGCACATACTAGAGATGGCTGGACGATTTGTAGCCTGAAAAAAGAAAAATTTGTAATCTTGGGACTAGTATAAAATTCCATAAATATTCACCCCTGCTAATCCTCCATATTTATCGGGCTACTAAATGAAGCCACATGGCTACAATGATAGCCTCTTTCATGTACAATTGAAAGGTCTGACATTTTGTTTATTTGTCTTCCTCATATCCAGAATATATCATAAGGAAGACAGATTAACAATTTTTTTTCAGACTTGAAAATGGTACTTGAAAAATGCTACTAAAGTGGTCAAAATGACACCATCAGTTAGCAGTATTTCATGCATATGTGGTTTTATTTAGCAGCTAGACAAACATGGAGGATTAATATGCATATGCCTTGATAATCTTTTTTTTTGAGCGTTATGTTTATACTGTTGTTAATAATAGAACACTTATTAACATATTATTTCTCCAAATCAATTTTCAGGTTTAGTAAAGACTCAGTATACTTCAAAGGAACTGGTGGAGTAGAAAAGAAATCATATGAAGTAACTATTCCACTGTATAAAGAAATAGACCCAGATAAAAGCAAAAGCTTCAACAGGGAAAGGTATTGATCTTCTCCATAATTCAGTTATTGGGAACATTCAGGAAACATCAGTGGTATGTCAGCACTGCATCACTTAATGTCCATGTCTTTGTGATTCAATTGACTGCTGACAAAGGTAGACAAACGCACTGTTATGTCCTGAATACTCCCATTGATGTGTTTATAGACATTACTATATTGTTATGAAATGTTTCTATTTCTTGCCACTGCTTATAATAAACTACAATAAAAAAATAACATTGCAGATGTATTGAACTTCTACTAGCCAAAGCACATCCAGATGAACCTTACTGGCCACACCTTACCTCAGACAAGAAGAAGCATCACTGGTTGAAGTGTGACTTCAATAAATGGCAAGACGAAGACGATTCTGGTGATGAGGGCCTTGGTGGCATGGGAGGAGGCGACTTTGAGGAGATGATGCGTCAGATGGGAGGATTAGGTACGTGAAGGACTATTTATTGCTACATTAATTTTTGTTTATCACTTGCATGCTAACCTTAATTCATTAACTTGTAAAGAGAGGGTTATGAATATCTTATGTCATCCATAGCATTGTATTTAATACATCCAGTTTAACTATAATTTTCTTTAAACATGTTGATACAAGATGTATGTGAGCATTGTCCAATGATGCAATCTAATACACAAGTTAAGTCGAACAGTTTTGACAATGATAATGCGAGCTCGTTATTTTAAGTGTTTTTTTTTTTTGTAATTAGCTCGCTATTGCAAGTGTTATTTTTTTGTAATTCAATGGATGTCGAAACATGAAGAACACAATAGTATTTGCTGATTGGGCAAAATATATCTCTATAATTTACTATTGATATTCACCTTTGGGCTTTATATACTCTGATAATCACAATTATTGATAAATTATAGTGTGTTTTAAATTCGACCCTCACCTTTAGAATCTCCAAAACTGTAAGAAGTAATCAACAAAAAACGGCTTAGAAAGTTCCGAAATCAGAAGTATTTCCGGAGAGAGACGGAAAACCGAACATTCCCAAAATTGTTTTAATTTTTCCCTAACTTCATTTGTAGAGGGGTTTCAAAATAAATTGCACATTAACTTTGTCACTTTTTCGCATCTAGCGACGTATCTCTTACAGTTTCAGAGATCCAAATGGTGAGGGTCGAATTTGTAAACACCCTGTATATGTCAAGTTTCCACACAATCAGAGGTTTTGACCAAGTTTTTTAGTATTCGGCCCCATTGTACGCCGCCTAGCGGTAGTAAAATCGGATATCGTTGCAATCGCGATACATTTCGAGAACACAGTATTGTCTTTTTGATGTTACATGACATACATGTTACCTATTTCTATCAGGTTGTCTGTCTGTCTGTTAACCTTTGGCCCCTCTATAATTCGAAAATAACCGTTCCGATTTTAAATTGTGTGGCGCTTTTGAACGGGCAATTGGAACATGTCCATCCTTTTCTACATATACGAGTATGTCGCTCATATGATAACAATGGATAGCCTATATAAGCTGTTATTAATAGAAATATTAATTGCTTAATGTACGCGTTATTATGCTTTGTGTACTAGCAACTATTATTTAACATGGAGTATGGGCAACAACTTGTTCACTATTTCCTTTTCTCAATTGTTTTAGGTGGTGGTGGGGGAAAACCTAGTCTCGATGACTTAGATGCAGATGACGGTGATGATTCAGATAATGAACCTATTCCTGACTTAGAATAACTTTAGATTTCATATTTAGTCTTAACATAACGTAAATCTTCAGCATTTTATTTTGAACATGTATTTGAACAGCTGATACATGGATTTTATTTCTGTTTCCACCTATAATTTTTGTTTTCCTTATTTTTCAATCGTTTTCACTTTTCGAAGCAAGTGCAGACCTGCATGCAAATGATATAATGGAAAGTTTGCATTTGAAGTTTAATAGATACAAACTATTGCAGACACCACCTTTATGTACAACTTTCTGTTTAACTTACTAGTAGATAATTCGCCGAGTTGGAAACCGGTAAACGCTTTGCGTGAAATAGGTTATTTTTATTCTTAGCAGTTTAAGCAATATCTGGCAGTCGTGTACATTTAAACGTAACTGATAACATGCAAAAATAATGTTACTTTACATCCAGGTCTGTACTGCTAATCTTATTTGGCTGATGTGTATAATATATACAGTGTGTTCAGTCAAATTATTTCGAATAATGTCACATCTCGCATTCGTACATTGTTTTAACGAATCGAGATTATTTATGCATTGTATGTATAAAGGAGTTTTTTAATTACAGGTAACATTCTAATATTGTATTATTCATTTTTTCCTTGGATACCAGTATTGTGTGCATAGGTGAAAGCAATAAAAAGTTACAGCAATAATGGAACCAAACAGTTTTTGATTGAATATGCAGTATTGCAGTCTGTTTGGATATGCACTTATGCAGTCTCATTTTGCCCTAAATGAAGCAAAATTATTTGTCTTTGGTGTTCTAAAAATTCGTCCAAAAAAGAACAGATTTTCGCGCCTATGTTTCAATAGCTGCTGTCACCTAGATACAACAGTGTCGACTGAACGTTATGTACTATTGCAACCTTTTAAAATTCAGAATATTGCTATCATGTCTGAGAAGCTTCCATTTTGCCTGCTTAGATTCTCAGTTCAACCATTAGCTCTTGAAAACCAGTTGTTACTATTTCTTCAATCACAACGTGAAAGTTTTGAAAAAACCTGCCGTCCTATTCTGACTGAATCGTAATTCATCAAAACTAGTATCGTTGTAGATACTCTTTGACTTGTGACGGCTTATGCCTAAAAAATAATCGTTGTTGAATGCATTTTAGGCACAGGTGATGGCCAACCAGTTTTGGATGATGCTGGAGATGGCGACGATCCGGATTCTGATGACGAAAAACCTTTTCCAGACTTGGAATAAATTCAGATCCAGTTCGGATATACTTCCAATATTTTGTAATTTGTTACTTGCTTAGTTATATCTGATACACTAAATATTTGGTTTAGAGAGTGTTGTTTTCTATTAGCGCATTATCTATGTAATCATACCCTTCATAATGGTCCAAACTGAGCTACTTAACTGTCGCATGCTGGTATTGTGACTTGTGACAGAATATCTGCATTGCGTCAGCTTGACATAAAAAGGTTAGATGTAGCTCAACTTAGGCACTGTTCTCACCAAAAGCAACTCGATTTCGACATGCGAATGTCATTGTGACACGCTATCCAAAGTTCCTGTCATATGCTTGAAAACACGTTGATTATTTTTCAAAAGTACTTCTTCGTCTCGTTTCTGTGTTTTTCGAAGTGATTCGGCTGGTGCAGCAATGTTGAAAAATTTCCAAAACCCGTATTAACTAACCTGTGACATATACATTCATTTCATGCTTACTTATAGGCGCGGAATGAGCTAACGGCACATTATCAGTTACCTAGTGCACAAGTTGAAATTTTACTGATTTATTTGGAATTATGTAGTTTTTTACGCAATAACCCTGCAGAAGACCTACAGTTGATACAAGAACTTTGACAAGCAAGTTAATAGTGAATCATTAGACTCAGTAGGTATCTTTGCGTATACGAGGGATGTCTTTTAACTTTTGCATATGGAAATAAAACAACACGGTAGGTAGTTTTAAATAACTTTATTGTTTTTCGAAGCAGTTATTCCACTCGTTTGCTGGCAGATCCAAAACGGAATTTTGAATGCGTCAACTGCTTTTTCTGGTGACTGGAACCTTTAACCACGCAGTATGTTTTTAATTTTCGGGAAAGCAAAGAAATCGTTAGGACTTAGATCGGGACTATATGGAGGATGGTCCAATAATTCCACGTTTTCTTCCATTAAATACGTCCTTGTTTTTGGGCTCTGTGCGAGAGCTTGCATTGTCTTGGTGGAGGATGATTCTTCTTTCGAGGTTGTTTTTTCGAAGCTCGGTGATGGCTTTCGGCAAACAACTGGTGGTATACCAATCCGCAGTATCAGTTCTTTGCTCATTAAGAGGAATTGTTGCAATATAATTCAGTGAACCCCATATTATATCATACGGTGTACCTCAAGGCTCAGCATTAGGACCCATTTTATTTAATCTGTTTATCAACGATTTGTTCAAAATAAGTAGTACAGGTAAAGTTATCGGTTTTGCGGATGATACAGCTATTCGCTATGAAAGCAACCAGTGGCATACACTAAAAACCACAATCGAACATGATTTCAAAACATTTATAAATTTCTTTTCGGAAAGAACTTTGACAATTAATTACAACAAAACACACTATATAGCATTTTCTTGTAACGACAGCTGGACTTTCTTTTCGGGCAATTGCAGTTAGAGTGCAAAGAAGTGTAGACACTGTGGTTAGGTGTTGTCAGGCATGGCTTCGAGAGGGCCGTACGCAAAGAGCAAGGGGCACTGGACGCCGCCGTAGAACAACAGACCGTGAAGATCGCCGCCTTAGATTATTGGCCTTAAGGGACCGTTTCTCCACTACCGGGTCTATTGCAAATGAATGGTTTGCAGAACATGGAAGACCTATTGGCATGCGAAGTGTTTACCGACGAATGAGAAGTTTTGGCTTGTTTGCATACCGGCCACACTGAGTCCTCCCTTTAACTCGAGAACACCGACGTAATCGCCTTGAGTGGTGCAGACAACGGTCACTCTGGGATCAGGAATGGAACAGTATTGTCTTTAGTGACGAGTCTCGATTTTGTTTAGGCATGCACGATGGTCGTGGTGAAAGGAGGAATCCACAGTTTTTTGTTGAAAGACATGTTCATCACACTGTTGGAGTTATGGTTTGGGGTGCTATAGCTTATGGTTCCAGGTCACCTTTAATCTTCATCAAAGGTAACATGAACGCGCAGCGTTATATCCACGAAGTTCTAGAACCCCATCTTTTACCCTATCCTGACACCCTGGCAGATCCAACTTTCCAACAAGATAATGCCCGACCACATGTTGCAAGAGTCACAATAGACTTCTTTCAACATAATGATGTCACATTGTTACCATGGCCACCAAGATCTCCCGACTTATCCCCAATTGAGCACGTGTGGGATATGATGGGTAGGAGATTGCTCAATTTGCAACGTCCTCCTCAGACTCTAGAAGCACTTCGAGAGGAGTTGGTGGTTGCCTGGAATGAGATACCACAGGAGGACATTGTCCACCTGATCAGAAGTATGCCTAGGCGCGTTGGACAATGCATAGCACATCAGGGTGCATCCACACATTATCAAACGTCAAAGGGCTTTAAAGCAGTGCAATCATTTTGAAATTTTTATCATTTACTTATTATGCTTCATTGCGTACTTATACAAAATTTTATTAAAATAAAACCATTTAAACTGGGTGTTCGGATTTATATGTCACTTAGTATACTACAATGTGTAGATTGGCTCTTGTTGGTGACTTCATGTGTCGTTTTGTTCCCTCTCCATCTTCGTTTGCTCAGGTTACACCCGTATCCGGATGTATGTGCATATGTATCTGTAGTTGCATGTGTGCATTCATTTCAGGCCTGATGAAGCCAACAAGCAGAAATACGTATCGCTTGGGTTACCTATCCTATTTTCTGCTCGAATCCACTTTCCTTCTTTTTTGCGTATTTTGTCCATTATTTTTCCTATACAGGGTGTCGCAGAAATAACACTCCAGAGTGACATGGGAGGTAGGTTGGCTTCAGATCAATTAGATAAAGCCAACAGGTCCTTAGTAAAAGTTTTCTAGATTTCGAGATACTGCCTCTTTCAAGTTGTTTAAAAAAAACGACTTTTTGCTCCCTTTTTGCCTGTCATGGCTATAAAGAACTACTAACTTACGATTTTTTTTTCTAGGCTACCATTAATGAATAGTTGAGACAACAGAGTATTCATTTCATTGAAAACTAGCACGGTATGCTAAAAAAACTAAATTATTACATTTTGTTTCAATGCGAAAACCTGTACTAAAGTTTTACTGATTACCGTGAAAAAAATGTACCAGACTGCAAATAACCTTGAAAATTAGCTATTTAATGCTATTTCGCAAGTGTTACGACTTCAATGACAAAACTTGGAATTGTTCAGTTTTTAGTAAAAAGAACCTACAAATGTTATACTATGCTAAGTGACATATAAATCCGAACACCCAGTTTAAATGGTTTTATTTTAATAAAATTTTGTATAAGTACTTAATGAAGCATAATAAGTAAATGATAAAAATTTCAAAATGATTGCACTGCTTTAAAGCCCTTTGACCTTTAATAATGTGTGGATGCACCCTGATGTGCTACGCATTCTCCAACGCGCCTAGGCATGCTTCTGATCAGGTGGTCAATGTCCTCCTGTGGTATCTCATTCCAGGCAACCACCAACTCCTCTCGAAGTGCTTCTAGAGTCTGAGGAGGACGTTCAAATTGAGCAATCTCCTACCCATCATATCCCACACGTGCTCAATTGGGGATAAGTCGGGAGATCTTGGTGGCCTTGGTAACAATGTGACATCATTATGTTGAAAGAAGTCTATTGTGACTCTTGCAACATGTGGTCGGGCATTATCTTGTTGGAAAGTTGGATCTGCCAGGGTGTCAAGATAGGGTAAAAGATGGGGTTCTAGAACTTCGTGGATATAACGCTGCGCGTTCATGTTACCTCTGATGAAGATTAAAGGTGACCTGGAACCATAAGCTATAGCACCCCAAACCATAACTCCAACAGTGTGATGAACATGTCTTTCAACAAAAAACTGTGGATTCCTCCTTTCACCACGGCGCCTTCTAACCCTGGCACGACCATCGTGCATGCCTAAACAAAATCGAGACTCGTCACTAAAGACAATACTGTTCCATTCCTGATCCCAGAGTGACCGTTGTCTGCACCACTCGAGGCGATTACGTCGGTGTTCTCGAGTTAAAGGGAGGACCCAGTGTGGCCGGTATGAAAACAAGCCAAAACTTCTCATTCGTCGGTAAACACTTCGCATGCCAATAGGTCTTCCGTGTTCTGCAAACCATTCATTTGCAATGGACCTGGTATTGGAGAAACGGTCCCTTAAGGCCAATAATCTTAGGCGGCGATCTTCACGGTCTGTTGTTCTACGGCGGCGTCCAGTGCCCCTTGCTCTTTGCGTACGGCCCTCTCGAAGCCATGCCTCACAACACCTAACCACAGTGTCTACACTTCTTTGCACTCTAACTGCAATTGCCCGAAAAGAAAGTCCAGCTTCCCGAAGTCCCACTATACGGCCCCTATCAAACTCACTAAGTTGACGAAATCGTACAGGTCTCCGTACTCTAGGCATCGTAACCGATCGTAAAGGATGTCAAGAACCAAAATCCGCCAACGTTGATTCTTTACTGCGACTGAAATATTCATTTTTAGAGCGTTAGTGAAATAAAAAAAAGCAGTATAAAAACCGGAATGTCCAACTGATAAGGCTGAAAATTTTTTCACTTGTTATTTACAGTAAGATAAATACATTCACCAACTTTTATTAAAATAAAACCATTTAAACTGGGTGTTCGGATTTATAGTATATTATGGAAATAGCATTCAAAAACTAATTTTCAAGGTCATTTGCTGATTCGGTCTAATACATTTTTTCACAGTGATTAGTAAAACTTTAGTAAAGGTTTTCGCATTGACACCCAATGTAATTTGAAATAAATACTCGGTTGTCTCAACCAACTATTAATGATAGTCCAAAACTTAAGTTAGAAGTACCTTATAGTCATAACAGGCAAAAAAGGAGCAAGAAGTAGTGTTTTTTTGAAAAACCTCAAAAGTGGTAATATCTCGTAAAGTAGAAAACTTTGACCAAGGTCATGTTGATTTCATCTGATTGATCTGAAGCCAATCTACCTCCCGTGTCACTCTGGCGTGTTATTTCTGAGACACCCTGTATATTATAAGGGTGTCCAATAAGTACCACGACAAACTTAAAGAGAAGGTAGGCTTTGGACTGACCTCCCAAATAACAAAAACTTACCTACATAAAAGTGTTACCGTTTTTGAGATATTGAATTTTTTCTTAAATTTTAAAAAAACGAACCTTTTCATCTGTGGTCTTTAACTGCATGTACAAATAAGGTTAAACTTTGTTCATTTTTTCTATAAAATACTTCTAGATAGTTGCTTTATCATATACAAATGCAGTGTTAGAAGATATTAAAGAACCATGTTAAAATGACTGTTTTGGGATTTATAACCTTCTGATATTGTTTTCTCAACTATCATGAAATCATATCAGGAGCAGGTAATAATAATGTAGCTGTGTACTATTTAGCATGTCACTGATTGGTAACCAGTGCAACTTGAATTTAAATCCAATAATTACTTTGTAGTGTGTGTCAGTCACTTACAACAGCAGCTATCACTTTTTTCTATTCCAAATAGTACGTGTGGTGCTTTTCTGAAATCTGTATTCAACGAGCAATCTTTTTGTTCAATATAATACAGTTATAGCCCTGTAAATTTTTGTTTCACCACAGGTGGTCAAAGTTGAGGAAAAAATATCAGGTTATAAATTCCAAAATAGTCCTTATTTGATCATGGTTCCTTAATATCTTTCAACTACATTGCATTTGTATATGATAAAGCAACTATCTAGAAGTATTTTATAGAAAAAATGAACAAAGTATAACCTTATTTGTACATGCAGTTAAAGACCACAGATGAAAAGGTTCGTTTTTTAAAATTTAAGAAAAAAATCAATATCTCAAAAACGGTGACACTTATATACGTATAGGTAAGTTTTTGTTATTTGGGAGGTCAGTCCAAAGCCTACCTTCTCCTTAAGTTTGTCGTGGTACATATTGAACACTCTGTATACATATAAAGGATGGACCAAATAGAAGTTTTTCTTATAATACAGTAAAATGAATAAAATATGGTTTTTCAATAAATTATTTGGCTTTATTAGAAAGAACAAACATTCCCATTATTCATGGAACACGATTCCATTCATATGGTTCCCTCGGCTACGTTCGTAGTAGCGTATCCTGTCGATCCAATTTTTCAAAACGTTGTCGACAGTGTCGGGCAGTGTCTGACAAATAGCTCGCACCACTCACTCGCTAAGGATGCATGGGCTTCTCGACGAATGCTTGCGGGTTTTCCGAGCCCCAGATGCAGCAGTTTTGCTTATTAATTGGAAGAGATGATTTTTCGAGCAAAATCTTCATCGATTTCGAGCGGTTCTAAGGGCCAAACTGAGAAGCAATACCGGAGCAAATGGTCTTGGAATGACAATTATTCTTGAGTCAATTGGATCTTGTAAGCGAATAAGCCAAGGTCTTGTGCACAATTCTCATCAGGCTAGTGCGACTAACGTTGAGTTGTTGCGATCGACGGCAAGTTGATGTTCTGGGATTAAGACGCACACTTTCGGTTACAGCATTCACATTGTCGATCGTGCGCACCTTTCGAGTACGTGGACCGAGAGTATTGTCCACGAGCATGTCCGTCTCAAGAAGTTTTTGTACAAATTTGCGTACGTCATGGCGCGGGGGTGCCTCCTTGCGGCCAAAATTTCTTTTAAAGATTCCCACTGTTTGAGCTACACTGCATTGGCTTTGGAAATAAACTTTCAATATTTCCAAACGTTGTTCAAGCGTAAAACGATTAATTTTATGCCGCGGAGGTATGATACCGACTTTTTGGTAAGATGGCGAGCAAGAGAGAACTGTCAGTGTCGACATAACCTATGATTCAAAAAGAAACCACTAGATGGCCCACCCTTTGTAAGTTGAGTCATTTATTTTAACAGTGAGTAGATCTGATCAAAAGAAATGTTTTTTCCTTTAACATTTTTCTGGTAAAATTAAAGTAACAAAGTTATAGCCCTTTAGAAGTTTTAGTACCGCCCTGTCTCAATAATAATATTATGTGCTCGTGTTTGGCAACAACGGATATAATCCGCCTTATCGGTTCATCGCATCGGAAACAAAAAAGCGAAAGAATTTGAAACGCTTATCACGATGTTTTTACTACAATTTTATTCAGTTGTATTCAGTCGGTAACGCGTGAGTGAATAGTGGTGTTTGTTGCGTGGCTCAAACGAAATAAAAAATGGCACATGTTTACGAAAATGCTGAGTCTTTACAAAATGCTGCCGCGGCATCACGGATTTATGCGGATCGGTTTCCCAATCGAGTGCAACCAACCCCTCGTGCCTTTGTTAATGTAGTACAAAGGACTCGTGAATCAGGTGACTTAAGACCTCACAGGGGAGGGCATGCCGGTGCTCCAAGACCTTACGATCAAATACAGGTCCGCACTGAAATATTTGTCGGGAGGATACTTTATAAAACAAGGTAACATTTTTTTTTATTTTTACACATATTTTGGTTTATCTTCCTTCTACAATCAATATCTGAAAATTAATGACTCAACTTCAAAGTATAAAATGTAGCTACTTGTTGCGAAATGATGTTAAATTTATAGTATTGCCTACAGGGCGTTGCACTTCATAAGCAGGAAATGCGAGGAAATCAAAAAATGAATACGACCCTACCATTTTGGGTTCCCCAAACATCTTTAGTTCAATTTTAAGCATTACTTTCTTAAATATGATTAAGCCAAGTTGATAACCGTGAAAATCTTGAGTATTGTGTCATGTAAACTACTAAAAATAAGACATTTTAACAAAATTGTTCTACTAAACAACAAATAGAAGCAAAGTCTATTTTGCTGATTACTTAAAAACATTCGTTTTTGTACAGAGTCAAACATTTAAATATTCAGCCTAAAAGGTGTAATTTTGTTAAAAAACAAAGACTGAAAAATCAAGTTCGGTCCTGGATTTTTAACCGTCTAGTTCTACGTTACTCCTTTGTTAACGTACCAAATTTCAACAATATCGGTTCCGTCTGTCACACTTGTTGTATCAAAGGTTTTCAACACTGCTGTTCCAAATGTAATCACCCCAAAGAACATAAAAATATTGTGAAGTAATTTTATCGGATTATCAATGCTTTTTTGAGGATACAATCGCAACGTTATCTGACGTGTCACAAGGACATCCGCAAGTCGAAATCCTCAGGGTTATTTCGTAAAAAAACTATAAAATGTCAATTTTCAAGTTATGCAATACCCCTGATGGTTAGTCGAGTTGCTTCGGTCAGAACAATCACATTACATGTTCATTGCAGTATCAATCTTCTGCGTTATTTTGACTGATGACTGGATCAACATAGCATAAAAGGTTGACATATTGAAGGAAAAAAACATTTATATAGTATTCATTTTTTATCTTATGTTTTACATAAATACGATATAGGACGTTTAAAAAATGCAGTGATTTATAATACATTAGCTTTGAAGTTAGTTTCCTTTGCTTTCCTGCTGCTCAAACTTGGGATAATTCACTTCTACATCAGCCCATGACTGTTTGCTGTATGATAAGTTGTGGACAACAGTTGCAATATCATCCAACTAAAAAATGTAAACCATCATAAAAACGAATGGAAAAATATATAATGAAAACAGGTTGTTATTCTGTAACTCACAGATTTTAGAGTTTAGCTAGAACTTTTACTTACAGGTATTCTAACTTGTCCCATAGAATCCCTTTCCCTCAGGGTAACACTATGGGGTTCCTTTAAAGTGTCAAAGTCAATTGTGATACCGTAGGGAATGGCTATTTCATCCGTCCTGGCATACCTCCTTCCTATGGACCCAGAACTGTCATCGACTTTGTGAGATACGTCGACTTTTGTTAATCCAGCAGCTAGAAAAAAATTAAAAGTGCAAGGCATCATTGGAGGTAAAATAATTTAGTAACTCGTCGAAAACGAGATGCATTCGATACTCACATAACCTTTTGACGAAAGGCATAAATTCAGTATTTGAGCTAAGTGGTAAAACACTGCATTTCAAAGGTGCAACTACAGCTGGCAATGACAAAAATGTCCTTTGTTCATCTCCTTCACGTTGTTTGAAGTTGTGCTCAAAAATAGCATACATAACCCTTCCAACACCTAAAATATGGTTTAGACGTTAATGTCATGGTATGATTATAAACCCTATTTCACGAGTATTCATCATGCTTTGAGGTGAACAGCTGATCACAAACGCGACGTCTTTGTGTTAATTTGTAACGTTTGCATAAATGAATTTCGTATTCAGAGCTGTTGTTCACATATCAGGATTACATTTTTAAGTGGGTGGGAAATGTAACAATAAAATGTACATATAGAAAAGTTTATTAGAAAATTATTAGAGTACATCTGGGACTCATTGATTACATGGTATGTCAATATAACAGGTTGCGTAGTCCTTTGCAGAATCTGTAAATTTACCCGTAAAAATAATATAGACACGTGTTTCTGATTTATTGTCCGTCATCAGTGTAACGTAATTCATCAAAAGCATGTAACTAATCACATAAAAACTAATACCTGCACCCAAAATTACGAAAACGACCCACCACCATGCCATATTATTGTGATACGTGAAATGCATCATACCAAACAGCAAAATAAAATATACTTCTTGGAATTTCCCATTTCCTCAATATGTAATGATCAATTGCTAACTTGGTATATCCTTGTGAATATCTTACTCTTTGAAAAAATAATAAACTATATTTCTTACTTCCCTGCCACAAGCACTATCGGTTCCACGCGACGTTTGCGTTTCCTTTTGATTTTTGCAGAGTTCTCAACAGTTGGGCCATGCCTGTTTTTTTCACGAAACACTGCATTGTCCCAGTTGTGTACATTTCATGACTTCCTGCAATAGTTGTACATTTTTCTATTTTATTACTTGTTAGAATTACCTGAGAAATACTGAGTAATACTGATATACTGCCGCAGATTCTGAACTAAATGCATGGCTGTTTCATTGCCCTTTAAGATCATATGGTGTTTCAAGTTCTAAAAAGTATATATAATTAATACAGTCAAAAACTGTTTATCTTATTTAATTCCTACCTGGTCTGAATTGTAGTCATGGTCATTAGCAGCCATTGTGCTTGTAGCGTTTCTTTCGTATGCACAGAAGCTTTTTTAAATAAGTACAAAATGAATCTGTAGCGTACAAAGAACCACAACAAAATACGGGTCTCTCTACCTGGAGTTCACCGATCCTTCGGAATTATGTGTCCTGTGCCAATATGGCGAATTTTGAAATGTTACTAGATAATTAGCTGTCATTGTCCCGTGATGGATACTCGTGAAATAGGGTGTAGTTGCTGTACTTTTTTTTATTGAAATTAGCTTACCAAATGATGGTTCAATGACACTAGGAATAATTTCCTCAACATGCACCGTTTTCTGGTATTTTTTCACATCAACCATATCCTTGTTGACATTGAACGTTTGATCTCCAATATGTAGATCATAAGCCCTGAAAAAATATAAATTAAGCTCGGATTATGTTCACTAGCGCTTTCAACCGCCACATAAACCGTATAATATGAAGTTTTAGCATTGCCCATTGATCAATTATTTTATATATGGTGTGACCATGGGGTTCAAGGACCAATAGAACTTACCCAGCGCCTTCCAGTTTCTGACCCAAAGCCTCAACCTCATCCAAGGACAAAGCTGCTAAAGCATCGGTAATCGCTTTAGCATCCTTTTTAAATGTTTTTCCTAGAATACCCTTGTTAGGTGTAGCTTCACAAACATCTACAATTTTTGGTTCTGGTAGTTTCTTTTCAGCTGCAAGCCTGACACCTGTGGCTTGTGTATGCTGTGTTAAATCATATGCTGAACGGTCTGCACAACCTACACATTCAATCCAACCCTACAAAATGGAAAGCATCAAGCAGATGGACTCCAAGATATCCCACATAGTGCCATACTAGTTTGAGAATACAAAAAACTTAGAGGAACACTTTCTAAAAGCTCTTTGATCCGATATGATTATGGCACTCCTAACTTCTACCAGACCCAACATTTGAAATTCAATATATATTGAATTTCAGTGCCTTTATCATAAAGCTAAGCCAATAATTCGCAAACACCTAATGCCATGGCTCCATTTTACAAAAAAACGACTAACTACTTGGGAAGTGCAGACTCAATTGCCTTTACAGCGTTTTATTGTTTTTTTAGCCCAGTTCACAAAATAAACAATCATAATACGTTGTTCCTTGATTATCACGAAATTTTTATTTTTACTTACATAGCTTGTAAGACATTCAGCATCCCAACAGTCACAGGCATAATGAGCCATTTCGTTCGCCATGTGTTGCCTAAACCTCAGTCTGTTAGGGTCTACTCCAGATTTCACAAGAAACTGTTGAATCCGCGCCATGAAGTATCCTAAAGTTTCATTAGCCACTAACCGCTAAAAATATTTTATAAACAAGACATGACAGTACAATGTCTAATTTAAAATGAACTGGTTCCAGCACTGGAACTCACTTTGTCAACAGCAGAACCAATGGTGACTCTTTCAGCAGGTTTCCCATCCATTTGATTACATGCCGAATAGAGAAGCATCTCTGTATTCCGAACATTGCCGAATTTTGGGTGACTTTTCTCCTTAGGATCGCAGAAATGCTCAATTTCAGCCATTGTGAATTCCCGGACACGTATCAGACCGGACCTTGGAGAGATTTCATTACGGAAGGCATTACCTAAAACGGAAATAGAATAAATATGATATATTTTAAAAATATGCTGTCTAAAGTGCAAGGCAAAATTCTGGATATTCAGCATACACAAAAAGCATGTAGAATGATTGCACGAGAATAGCGAACCTACCCCATATTGACCAAGCACTTTCCTGGGCTAAACATATAGAACATCTAGAAAGAAGGTTAAACAATGCATGTTATAGTATTAGAGTACTAAGCAAGTACCTAGACCTCAAGACTCTAAAAATGGTATATTACGCGAATTTTGAGTCCATTGTACGTTTTGGAATAAGAAGAGAGTGCTGAGGTGCATCCTAAAAATTTCCTCTAGAGAGACTTGCAGAGGAAAATTTAAGAGTGATAAAATTTTAACTGTAACCGCAATATATATTCAAGAGATTCTAATTTTTACATTTAAAAATATTGACAATTTTATCGGTAACTCACGAGTGACTATAACACAAGAAATAGAAATATAAATCTTCTGTATCCAGTCCATCATCTCACGGTTACTAAAATATATAATAAGTTACCACAAGAAATTAAAAGGTTGGCAGATATAAAATATAAAAAGAGTATTTATCAATTGTTAATGCACTTAGAACCATATGACCTTCAAGACTATTTTGAAATGTAAAATGTCTATTATGTTATATGTTTTGCCTCTTTGTTTTTCCTGTCTCGATGACACTGCGACGTATATTTCACCTAACAGTGTGTAATACATTGAAATCATGCACTATTTTGAAATAAAGATTTATTACTGCTGACAGTACGTCTCTTTGTTTTCGATGAACTAACCCCTAACAAAATTCTTCCGAAGTTAACAAAATTTTACGGGGACTCTACTCCTTCGACGTAAACTGCGGCTGAACTTGAATGTTGTCGCACATTCCTTAAAAATGATTCGCGTGAAAAAACAAATAGCAAACCACACTTGAAACCATCGAAAAGGTCCACGATATCATGTTGGGCGATAGGAATGTAAGTGAAAGTGAGTAAGATAGCTGTGGCCGTTGCACAAAGAGCTGGCGATGAGAAGGATCTGCGCAGGGTATGGGTGCCGATCAAAAGCGAAAGTACCAACGACTTTCGTTACAATGTTTAATGTTTGGAACCATTCAACAGAGATCTGACGGATTTTACGCGGTGGACCTATATCATGCCAGCCTTTAGGCAGTAAACGATACAAACAAAACAGCAGATTAATTAGTGAGGGAACGCGGGTGGTTCAGCTACAAGGAAGTCGGTTGCTTGTGCCGGAAAGGTCATGACCAGTGTATTTTGGGATGCGAGTCGGATTATGTTAAACGATTACCATAAAAAGGGTAGAACAATTACGGGCCGAATACTATTCCAACCTCCTTCATGGCCAAATTAGTAATTAGCTGAAAAATGGAAAGATAATTTTTTAGTCAGTACAACGCACCACCTACTCACAAAGGTGTGGTAACAATGGAAAAACTGCAGGGTTTAGGGTATGATTCACTCAGCCATCCCCCTATTCTCATGATTTAGCACCCTCAGACTTCCATATGTTCCCAGATATGAGACATTCACTTGCGAGAAGGAATTCTAATGTTGGCCCAAGTGTTTTGGAGTCGAAGGGGGTTATTTAAAAAAATAATTGAAAAAAATCGTAGTCTTTCATCGTCAGGTCGAGGACTTTTCACCCTACCCTCGTATATATATATATATAATAAAAAATAAAATGCTCCCGTTTGTTACACTCGTATCAGTCAGTCCAGGGACTTTACTTTACTAAGTGGTTCATAAAATATAAACAAATATATCAATCTGCACCATATCATCGAGTAACAGTATGGTAGGTAATAGTTGAACCAAATCTTACCAATTTGAGCTGCAGCAAAGGGTAGTTTACCCTGGTTAAACTCAAGAAGACGCTTGAAATTTACGAATATTCCTTGTGCAGTTTCAGGTCTCAAAAATCTGGGAAAAATGCAAACATAAGCTAGATTTCTTTTTTATATTTTTTCATCATACCCTTTGATAAGACCAGATGGTCCAATCTGTGTAGCGAACATCAAATTGAATTCTATAGGCTCTGTCAGATCGTTTCCAGTAAGAGGACTTTTCATGTTAAATTTCTGCATGACTGCAGCCATTTCATTCTTATTCATTCCATCTAACTGCAAAATGACATTGTCACTAATATACAACATATATCCGTAAAAATCTTGAAAATTCTTATGAAAAAGTTGTACATATTTTGTTCGAATGCAATAGTTGTAGTGCTTATAAAGTGGTCTTCACAGCACTGAACAACTACCTAAAAAAATTTTTTGGACTAATGTTTTTAAATCGTTATTTGCATATTTTTATGATAATTAATAATGAGTTCAGTATCCTGTATTGTTGATATATGAAATATAAGGATATTGTGGAAGTTGGAAGTACCTTTCAAATATCCGAACACCTCGAAAATCTGCATTTACGCAGACAAGTTTTCCACAAAAGTCAGAAAAAAAAAATAATTTATTTTCAACTTCTTATATGACCCACTTAAGGACCTCAGATGCTATTATTTAGAAGTCGACTTTGTAAATTTAACTAGCAACCACTGTTTTTGGCAGAAGATTTATTTTTAGTGTTAGATTTCCTACCTAAGAGTCAGTTTTCATACATGAGGTCAGGTGGTCATAAGTGGACCAAGATTAGTATGCTATCAAAAATAGTAATTGCTATTTGAATTAAGAAACTTAACTTCAAAATAACACCTGAGATCAAGGTCATACCTGACGTTACCAATTGCTTGCTTTTTTTGGTTTCTTGAAACTGTATGATCCAATTTTTAAGAGAAATGCACTGTACCCAAATTTCCGGGGCATTTGTGTACTTTAGCTTACAGCTTGACCTACCTATGTTGCCTAGTTATGACCTCACATAAAATTGATTCCTATGTAGAATCTATGATCTGCTGTTAAAAATGGTGATTGGTACTTGGATTTAAAAGATTAGCCTTCAGATGGCATCTGAGGTAATTATTTAGCCCTTACTCGTACTAGCTATCATCAATGAATTGTCTCCTCAAACTTTTATGGAAGCTTGGAAAACAAGAGTGGGTGACAAGTTTCCAAACCTTACAGCTTGACAATGGTTTGATAACTATAATGGCCTTAAGAATCAAAATTGATTCCCCTTTATAGTTTCATGCTGATTACAAATCTAATGTCACAAATAATGGTGGTTGCTATTTGACATAGTTGACTAACTTTGAGTTCATTATGTATAGTCTAATGTCTAATCATATTAGCAAATTTCCCCGAAATAATTGTAAAGTCTGGTTTTATTGATGCAAGTTATTCAAGGAGGTATTTAAAACATGGACGCATAAAATGGGTACACCAATTTTTGTGGGAAAACTTTTTATTCGACAACAAAGAATGAGTAAACGTGTTTTTGAGATTCAATCGTAAGTGTTGGCAGAAACAAAAAAAACTCTTCAAATAAGCTTTTTTAGTATTTATGAGACCTACAGAATGAGACCACACATAAAAATATCCGACTAATAGTAAAAAAGTCATAACCGAAAACCCAGGTAAAATGTATTTTTCGGCACTTGCTGCTAAGGCGATGATAATTTCACGCAGCTACTTGAAATTCTCTAAATCCGTAGGCTTCATACTTCTAAGTAACCACAGCAAAATTGGAGACGATTGGTCAAGTAGTCTTAGAGAATTTCTAATTGTTTATCCCAAAACACCTGTCTTCCGGCGATCACTATTAGTTTACTGAGCAATATACAGGGTTCGTTCAAAGGGCAATTACCTAATAGCAAAATACACGAGTTTACCTTGCCGACATAAATCACAAACCATTCTGAACGATAATTGTTGTTTTTCTTCTTCTAAACAAATACAAATATTCCGTATTTGTAAGTAATTGAACAGATTCGCTACGATATCATAATATCCTACCTTAGAAGTTCTTCACGGTAAATATGCTGGGTATTAGTCCCTAATACATTATTTAAAGTTTCAGCATTGTACGCTGTATAGTTTTTAAGACTAATCTAATTGTTTATCAGATATTTGATATGTCTCCAACGTTCGCTTGACTTGTGTCAGTGTCAAGTGTAGTGGCATAAAGATCCAGTAAACCAAGAGGCATCGTAGCGTAATGGGAAAGAAGGGTGATTGCTGAACCGCAGGATGTAGGTTCAAATCCACAATGGTCCTTTTTTGCTATTAATTTTTTTTCAATTTGGGGAAATAAATGCTTTTTCACATTATGTGTACTTTTATTGCACGCCATAGATAATGTAAGCTTGCAAACAGGAAACCAGCGGTATACGTATGATTGTTAATAATTTTTTTTTATATTACTATACTTTGATGAAACTTCAGAAACATAGCATCATAACAGATAATTTTTGAAAACATGTATCTTAGATGTGTAAATTATTAACCAGCAATAATGAAAGATATCCGAAATGTTGTTTGTGATAATAAGCTTGTTTAATGCTCTACAAGTTAATTACCTCAATTTAGTGGGTAAACACATCACAATACGAAAAAATAAGCAACATTATGGTTGCTATGGTTAATATATACAAAATGTCAATGAAGCTTTCATATAATCACTCTCTAATATATAATTGAAATTGCTTAATTTTAGATTTTTTATATATTTAACATCCACGTTATATTAGGGCTTCCTCTTTCCCATCACTCCCTAAAAGAGAGATTACCTCTGTGTTGTGCTGTCATAATACAAAAATACAAACTATGCAAAAAATATCTATGCTAAATATAAAAACTGTGGCTTAGCTCACCTAATTTTATGAGCATTCTTTGCGGCCCCAAGAGGTACCTAATTTGACGGCGTATCGAAAACTTGAGTGTATTATCACAAACAAAATTTCGGATATGTTTTATTATTGTTGGTTAATAATGTACACATCTAAGATATACGCAAAAACTATCATCTATAATCCAACATAGTGTTTCTGAAATTTCATCACAGTAATATAAAAGAATTTATAAACAATCATTAAAATCGTGTTTTGTTTACAGCTATTCGATATCGTCTTTAGTTCAAAATCTAGTGTCTATTCAATTATTCTGTAAGTACCAGTGTTCTAAGAGGCCCTTTATCTGCCACTGTGTATGTTTGCAAGCTGAAACTTGGAGGAGTTAAAATTTATTCGTTACCACCGTTTATCAGCACAACATCTGGCAGTGGCGTACTAATTTTAAGCGATAAACAGATTTGTACAGAGAAATATAACCACAGTTGTGTATCTATTACTGCTAATGAAGTTCGTACGCTAAATGCAAACAAGGGTTACGATTGGACTTGCGTCGATTGCCGAGCCATTGGTAAAGACATCAAGGGACTAAGGGCCCTGATCATACAGCTGCAAAATGACATCAAAGAACTGAAGGGTGGAAATACGCGAGCTGCGGATTCTTCAGGATTCAGCTTCGAGGATGTCATATCGGAAGTCATTGAAAGGCAAAAGCGCAAAACTAACATAATTCTATTCAATGTTAAAGAGCCGGACCAGGCCAAATCGAAAAAGGAACAAATCGAGAGTGCCTCCACTACTGTCTTGGATATAGTGTCTAAAGTTGATCCTGAGCTAACGCTAACCAACTTAAAACCTCTTAGACTGGGGCCATTCGCTGGAAATAAAATCCGTCCTATAAACATATCAGTCGAAAGCCCTGATATTGTTCGAAAAGTCGCTATGGACGCAAGAAAGTTGAATACTAACAGGACCTATAGCAATGTTAGGATAGCTCCAGACTGAACGAAGAAGCAGCTGGAGTACTATCGGGAGGTCAAGCGTGAGCTGACGGAGCGGACAATTCTGGTGATACAAATTGTCCCATAAAATATTTGAACGGTATCCCAAAAATAGTACAGTTAAACTAGATTTTCCCAGCAGTATATTCAGGTCGACCCAGTGAAACTGTACCACCAGAACATACGGGGACTTAACAGTAAGGTGGATGCGTTTTCTTCCAGAGCCAGTGATTGTGAGTATAATATAATTGCACTTACGGAAACCAGTTGTTTTGTCTAGTGAATTATTTCTTGAGAACTATGCTGTACATCTAAAAGACAGGGATCACAACCGGATCGGTTTATCGACAGGTGGCGGAGTGTTACTGGCTATGGATGCTGACCTCAAGTCTGAAATTGGGAATACTACTGAATTTGAAGACAACTTTCCTGAAATTGATTTTTTGCTTTGCAAGTGCAGTATATCACGCTATATTTTATATGTCGCACTCATTTATATTCCTCCTCATGTATCAATCGATTGTTCTGAAAATTTCCTCGACAGGGTCGAGAATATGTATTCTCAAAAATTAACTGTCATAGGTGACTTTAATTGTACGGCTTACGTTGAGGGTAATAACGATGATAGAAAAACCTCCATAATCAACAACTGGATCACTAACCAATATAACACTATTAGCAATAGTAAATTATTAGACCTGTCAATAAGTAATGTGAATCTTAGTGTATCTCGAGACCCAATCCCACTTATTAATGAAGATCCCCATCATCCCGCTATATCTGTAACCATAAATCAACTTCATTTTGAAGTGAAAAAATTTGCCACCAAACACTCAGCATAAGCGGTATAACTTCAGAAAAGCTAATTTCCTCACGCTTTATGAGGAACTGGTATCTACAAACTGGGATTTCTTAGATACTGTGATTGATCCTAACCAAGCAGTAGAAACTTTCTACAACTAAATATTTGACAGACATGTTCCTTCTGCAAAAATATCCAAGTTTAAGTATCCTGTATGGCAGGGCTGTCCATCATACGGCCTGCGGGCCGCATGCGTCCCGCGAACTCCTTTCTTGCTGCCCGCTTCACGGGTCATGTATACATATATGTATACCATATAGTATACTATACCTATTAAAACTCAGTAATAATGTTGTGTAGAAAGATTTTATAATGCGGCCCTCCAAACTGCATTTTTTTTTGTTTGAAGTGGCCCTTGGGCCACATTAAGTTGGACAGCCCTGCTGTATGGTATTCCAGCAACATGATTGCATAAGTAAAATAAAAGGCTAAATATCATAAAAGATTCAAGGCTACTAATAACATCGCATAGTATCAGGAATTCAATCGGCTTAGAGCCACATTTAAACAAAAAAA